CCTGCCACTAAAATGGACTCTAAGAAGACCGGGAATTGGCAGAGTCTAATACCTTCATGACAGTTATATCCGGCTTTCCCAGACAGGCGAATTACTCTGCCGGTGGTAATCCTATTCTAAATTGATTTAAAAGATCCATTGCTTTAACCAGCTGTAATAATGCCTGTTGCTCATTGTAGGAGGAAAAGCCGCTTAAGTATGTGCTATTAACAGATGAGTGAAACAACATGGTTTCATTTCTCAAAAAATTTTTTCTCATTCATAGTCAGTCCTCCTCAATATAATCACCAAGTAGAAAAGAATGACAAAGATTCCATCTCTGATTTTTTTAAAATTGAGATATCAATCACATACCATAAAGTTCACTCTTTTAATAGAATTCAGTGGTTTTTAGTATATTCACTAAGTTGTGTAAGCACCACACAATTTAATTCCAGAACATTTTCATCATCCCAGCAAGAAACTCCATACATGTTAGCAGTCACTCCCATACTCCCATCCCCCAACCCCTGGCAACCACTAATCTACTTTCTATGTATAGATTTGCCTATTCTGGACATTTCATATAAATGGAATCACATAATATGCTTTATTTTGCACCTGGCTTATGTTGCAGCATGTATCAGAACTTTGTTTCTTTTGATGGCTGGATAATACTCCACCAGACATACTTGCATACCATGTTTTGCTTATCCATTCATCTGCTGATGGACACTTGGGTTGTTGTTTGGTTTGGTTTGGTTTGGATTACTGTTATGAATAATGCCAGGAAAATTCACGTGTAAGTTTTTCCCTGAACAAATATTTTTATTTCTCTTGGGTGTATACCTGTGAGTGGAATTGCTGCATCATATGATATAACTCTTTAACCTTTTGAGGAACTGTCAGGCAGTTTTCCAAAGTGGCTATACCATTTTACATTCCCACCAGCAGTGTGAGAAGGTTCCAGTTTTTCCACGTTCTCACTGACACTGTTGCTGTCTGTCTTCTGTTTCAGCCCTTCTGGTGGGTGTGAAGTGGCATCTCACTGTGGCTTTGACTTGAGGGTCCCTGCTGACTCATAATGCTGAGCATCTTGTCATGTGCTCACCGGCCATTTGTGCATCTTCTCCCAAGAAATGTCTGTTTTTGTCCTTTACCCATTCATCCCTGATTCTTCTAAAATTTTTCCTACCTGCTTCCAGGACACTTGCCAAATGATAAAAATGTTTTTATTCTAAGTGGAAGAAGCATTTCAGTTAAATCTGTTTAGAGCAGATTTGCACTCTAACATTTATCATCTAAATAAGCCAAAACTGGGTATGCATTCAGAGTAACTCGTCATGCCTGTCCTAGTTTCTTAGAAATTCTCCATGCATGCACCTTAAAACATTTCTCACGTCCCTCTGAAGTTCAGGCACATCAGGCGTGAGGCAGGAGCAGTGCAGCGAGGATGGGCCATGGGTTCAGTAGCTTGAAAGCCGCCTCAGCTGCTGCCAGAGTCCCCCCTGCTAGACCAAATGGGGGTCTACTTCGCAGTAGTGTGAAAATACAAGCCTTTCCCTTCTGTTCTTAAAATAGGGAAGTGCTAAGTTGAATATCATTTTATAATTTGTGGTAAAATGAAAATAAGATGGCTCTGAAATTATATTTTTGCTTAAAAAAAAAAAGAAAAGAAGGACTAAGAATTGTTTAAAATGGCCTCAGCTGAATCAGGCAGAGAGGCTTTGAAACTGTTTTTGGGGGGTGTATCAGTTAATGTATGATGTGTTTTATCGCTTTACCAACAAAGTCTTAATTATTAAATCTCAGTTTCACTTGAGAATATATTTATGGACTTGTTTGTGTATTCGTTTATAGAAATCTCCTCTTACACCGTGTGTGTGATATATTCCGGTAAAATCTTGAGTTTTTTCAGTATTTTCATATGTACTTGCTAAAATACCAGTAGCATATTTATAGAAATCTCCTCTTATACCGTGTGTGTGATATACTCCGGTAAAATCTTGAGTTTTTTCAGTATTTTCATATGTACTTGCTAAAATACCAGTAGCATTCAAGGGGGAGAATCTGTGCTTTAATATTATTTAAAATTGTATAGTGGCAAAACTGGGATTAGGCCCCAAATCCAATTTAAAAATGTCATTTAGTACAGTTCCTTGTGAAGACCATTGCTAATACAAGTACACCAGTTTGCGTTTGGCCTCCTCCCTTCTCTGTGACGGGGTTGCAATGTAGTAAAGTATCAGGGACAGACACAAGGAGGAGGAGGAAGGAAAAACTTGGAGAAGAGCTAATTGGCCCATAAATCATAATGAATTAGTCACATGGTGGTAAAGTCTTGCAAACGCATCCTTTTAGTGAAAGACTAATGATAGTCCTTTTTCTGCCTGGAGATTTGTCTGCAGAACAAAAGCTGCTTCTTCCAAGCTCCTTTAGAAGCTCCTGCCTTTGTGGAGAAGGTCTGGCAGAACTTCCCAAAATGTGTTCCAGGAGATGTAAATGAATACCCTGGAAGATTGCTGTTGCCATCAGACAGATAATGGAAATTCCTTGGGCTGATATCCATGTTGAAGTCTCATAAAAGTACCTAACTTAAAAGCTCCACACTGTTTATCTTTAGCACATCGTTGTCCAAAATTATTTGAAGAAACACTTTTTTTAGGAAGACTTACGAAAAAACAAATGTTACATAATCAGTGTTTGTTAACTTTACAAGGGTCTTGTTGATATCGTTATTTGGTCTGCTAGAGAGTGTGCAGTTTCCCTCAAAGGTTTTCTGAGTTTTCCATTAATACGTGCATTTTGAATGCCTACTCTGAGCTGCTTGCTGGAGACAGACATGGTTCTTGCCAACACAGTTCTCAGTCTATGCTGTGAGAGATGACAGTAGGTGAAGATTATACACCTGTAATTACATAATTAGAACTGGAGTAAGTGCTCCAAAGGAGGACAGGGGGCCATGAGAGTGTTTGGCAAGAGACCTAACTGTAAGATTTAGTAAGCAGGGGACAGAGCTGACATAACATTTTTATTTTTTTATTTTATTTTTATTTTTTTTTGCCTTTTTGCCTTTTTTCGTGTCCGGCAACGGATCGCAACCCTCAGTGTCGCGCCCGTACCGGGACCGGCAACGGGATCGCAACCCTCGGTGCTGCACCCGCACCTCGCTCAGCCAGTGAGCGGGAACCAGTCTGTATGTGGGATCCGAACCCTTGGCGGGAGCGCCGCCACGCTCCCAAGCGGCGCACTGTAGCAGTGCGCCACCGGGCCGGCCCTAACATTTTTATTTTTAAAAAGCCATTCTCACTGTTGCATGGGGGGAGAGGACTGAAGGGGTATCAGAAAGGAGGTGGAGACCCTGAGGAAGGCTTCCCTGCAGTGGCCTGGGTTAGGAGGGGTAGTAATTTGGGCTCGGGTGGGAGCCTTAGACAAAATGGAGGAATTGGAGTGCACTTTAGAAAAATATACAGGACAGGAATTAATTACTTGGAAAAGGCACTGAGAGAAATAGTAATCATCAGAAAAGGATCTTAGTTATTCAGAACCCAGTTTAAGGACTTGCTAGAGAAGGGGAAATTCACCCATTTTAGCATTATAGATTGCTTTCCTTTCCCACTATTTCCTCATCCCCAACTCTTATTTTGGGGGGCATAGGGGGACGCGGCTAGCTGGATCTGAACCTTTGACCTTTGTGTTGTAACACCGCACTCTAACCAACTGAGCTAACTGGCCAGCACCGCCCCCTCTTGTTTTGCTTTTGTTTTTGTTTTTGGGGGGAGTGTCTGGCTGGTAAAGGGGTCTGAACCCTTGATCTTGGTATTACCAGCACCACCACGCTCTAACCAAGTGGAGCCCTCCAACTCTTTAATTTTAAAATATTGAGTAATACCCAAAGGAGGTGAATATGGAAACTTTTTCTTCAAGAGTAAAAGACAAATGAGTATTTTTAGCTGTGTAGAAAAATACAGCTCCTAGTCAAGCAGGTCCCATATGTAAGGCAGCGCATTTCACTTTCTAACTTAGGCCCCTGGCGAGCACTTTCTTGGTTTACCGTCTGTGCATTTGTACCAGTTAAGAATGTGGTTCTTTTGAGCTTTATATTCAGGAGTTAGTATTATCAAGTCATCAAATGTGTTTTTATAACTATGTAGCTCTTACCTTTATTGTGGATTCTACATTGGTGCTCTTCCAAGAATTTCCTGAAAGTAGGCTGGCCAATTAGCTCAGTTGGTTGGAGTGCGGTGCTGATAACACCAAGGTCCAAGGTTTGATCCCTGTCCTGGTCAGCTGCCAAAAAAAAAAAAAAAAAGTTTCCTGAAAGTAGCACATCTGTTTGGGGCCCTGCGTGGGCAGAGGAGAGTTCTAGCTCTCCTGTGAGCACATGAGGATTGAGAAGGGATGTGGGTGCCTCTCCAGCGCCAGCCCAGAGTCTACGGGCTTATTCCAGCTGTGAACTTGTGGGTGGTCTGCCGGATTTTCATCAGTGTTTAATGACAGCACAACTCTGCTTTCAAGGGGGGTTTGATTTTTGGGAGAGAACAGCTAAAAATTCTTTGTATACAGTTCTGTTGAATGAATGTTTAATCAAGTGTGCATAATAACATACTTTAGTACACACAAGTATTTAGTTCTGTTTTGAAGAAAACGTGAATACATGAGTGGTTCTGGCTCACAAACAAAAGACTTTTAAAAGTTAAAAGAGAAGTGGGCATCTCGTAAGCAATAGCGTCTTCCTAAGGTGGCTCCTTTGTAGTCCCTTTTAAAACATCCCAGTGGTATTTGTGCATTGGTTGAAAAACCAGTCTCCTACTTTGTAGACAGACTGGTATATCTGGGCACTTCTCCTCTTGCCCAGGGGTTTGGAATTTCTGGTTTTAAAGTGACGGTAAAAGTTGGCCTTTGTCCTGCTGTTTTTGCCAGGGCAGCATTTGCCAGAGCAGCGTTTGCCAGAACAGGGTCCAGGCAGCCAGACCATGGGTCCTGGAGCCTGCGTAGCATTTCTCCCAGGAGGCCTGGGGTTGGTGGTAGTGCCGATGGCATTCTGATGGTTACCAAAAAGGGGATATTGGAATTTTCTCTCTCTTTCCCTCTGTTCATTTAAGTTTCTCTTTTAGTCTGAACAACAGAAGAAGCAACAGGAGGCTGAGAAACTGCATCGACAAGAGAGGAAAAAACTCCATCGTTCAGCTGGTCACCTGAAGTCAAGACACAGGAGAGGACGGCGGTTTCATTGAATTTGGAAGTGATGGTGCATGTGATAGGGAAGGAGCACGTCTCCCAATTGACCATCATTAGACAATTAAACACAGACAGGGACATGCACTTTAAAGTTGCATGTGAATTGTCATACACAGAGGTAAAGATGTGGTAACTTGTCCCTGTGCCCTATGCGTTGGACCTTGAAACTGGGCCCCCACCAATTGGCCACTGCCTGGCACCGAGGGTGCTTTTCCTAAGTTGTTGGTCCCTGTAAACATTATCCTTACTGTTGTCGTTCTTTAATGTTGTGAAATGTGCATTATGAAATGAAAGGTTTATCCTGTGCTAAAAACAAAGATATATCATGTTCTAGGAACTTTTTTCTTTCTTTTTTTTCTTGCAATATCTACTGCCACTCACAATTAGACTACCCAGAAATATCATCCTATTTTACCTATTTAATCTGTGTATTGTCCATGCTTGTGTTTATAAGTATATGTCGATGGGTTTGTTTGCTTGTTTGTATGTGTTAGTTTGGGATTTTTTTAAAAATATTTTTATACCAAGAGACTATAATTTAATAGTAATAACATAAAATGGAAGATACTGATTATTCTTTTAACTTGGCATAAGATTAAATATAGGTTTTTTTCTGTTTAAGTGCAATTAGAGGTAAACTTGCTGGAAGAAACATTTATAAAAATAAACGCTTTAACTGGCTTCTTTAAGAAAGACACATTCCTTGAGTTAATTTGAAAATTAACTGGTTTTCTTAATTTTTCAGGTATTCATGTGATTTTGGAGGTGCCTTTATAGATTTTCAAAGTTTCTTTATGCACAACTGAAATAGTAGCTCTTTTGACTCTAAAAGATAGAATCTAACTTGTGCCCGAAGCCAAAAAGCATAAGGCCTTAATTAACATGACCACACTCTGGAATATGCAACGGGCCTCAGGAACTCCTAGATCCAGGGCTCCACAATTAGTCAGATCTCTCTCTCTCTCTCTTTTCTTCCTCCTGCTCAACATTGTTCCTTATTTCTTCAGGTCTCCCGTTTTCTCTTCTCAGCATCTTTCCCTTCCTCCCAGCAGTTTTCCCTGTCATGTCTGCTTCTTTGTGGACTGTCTTGGCCCACCACTAGGCAGCATGGGGCATCTGTTCATTTCTTTGGTCTGGGAGATGACGTCTGTTTCCAGGAAGAAAGTGTGGATGGTATGTAGTTGGGGAAGGGGCGTGTATCCGTCTGTTTTCTTTTGCCCGTAACAGAATACTTGAAACTGTGTAATTTATAAAGAAACAAAATTTATTACTGTTTGGAAGCTGGGAAGTCCAAGGTCCAGGGAGCACATCTGGTGAGGGCCTTCTTGGTCTTGTGTGATGCAGGTTACCACATAGTGAGGGCTGAGCAAGAGCTTTTTCACGTGCTCACTTTCTCTCCTTATAAAGCCCTAGTCTACTCCCTGATAACCTGTTAAACCATTGATTCACGAATGGATTAACCCATTCATGAAGACAGAGTCCTCACAATCTAATCACCTCCCAAAGGCCCCACCTTTCAAATCCCATAGTCTGACTTCCCACCCTCTTAACACTCTTAGAAGGAGGATCAACCTTCAGTGAGTTTTGGGGGAACATTCAAACCATAGCAGTGGGTGTGGGTGTGGGTGGTCGTTATGTTTGTGTGTACAGACATGGTCATCAGACAGTGATTCTTGTTACTTGAGTAGCCAGCCCAGCTTGTGCTGTGGTACCAGAGTCATCTGTTCTATCCCTGCTATAGCTGCTTTCCCGTGTCAGCTTCTTTCCCCTAAACTCCTGTTCATTAACCACCTCTGCTCGCAGGAAGGGCTTCAGCTTCCCTGATGCTTTCTTCTCTTTCTCACACTGCTTTCTTCAGGGGCAAGAAGTTCTAGCAGAATAGAGAGGGACACTGTGCTGGCTGGGATATTTTCCCCAGAGGTTGGGTGATTATGCCTAGACCTGTTTCCCGAGGTCAGGCGCTTCCACATCTATCCCGGACTTCCCCAGGCCCTGCTTTTCTTCCCTTCTCTGGAGGACATCCTTGTTTTGTGGGGAGCCAGTGGGTCACAGTGCTACTAAGTTCCATAAGCAGTGCTTTAGCAGAAGGAGTTCATGCGCTCTGTGGAAGGAGGACCCTCAGAGCTGGGAAGTCTGCCATCAGCAGGGGGAAGAGGAGAGCAGGGAGGAATTCTGGACACGTGGGAGGCAGGCGGTGCCGTGGGGAGAGTGTGGGCTCTGCAGCCAGGCCAACCTGGATTGAGTCCCAGCTCTGTTACCTACCAGTTCTGTATCCTCTGGCTGTTTGTCAGCAGGGGGAAGAGGAGAGCAGGGAGGAATTCTGGACACGTGGGAGGCAGGCGGTGCCGTGGGGAGAGTGTGGGCTCTGCAGACAGGCCAACCTGGATTGAGTCCCAGCTCTGTTACCTACCAGTTCTGTATCCTCTGGCTGTTTGTTTAACCTCTGTGAGTCTCGTTTCTGCCTATAAAATAAGCCTAATACTTTTTTGATTTTTGTGAGAATGAAACGAGGCACTTATATTAGGTAAAGCACCTAGCACAGTGTGAGGCTCGTGGGTACTTCATAAGCTTCTTCTCTCCAGTTCCCCTCACCTCACGGGTCTTCACACACACGCACACCTCTGAACCCAAATATTCTTTAATATTGAGATTTTCCGGAAACACCTGGGCAGTGAGAGGAGTGGTGGAGCATGGAACAGTATTCATGCAACTGTCTCAGCCAGTTTTTCTTAGATGTCCATCACAGACTCAGTTCTGTCTCTCCATTGGCCCTTTCAGGAATTGCCTGTGCTGGGGGTTGGTTATGAGTTACGATTTCTCCCCTTCCCCTGTTCCAGATCCCCCTCAGCCTCTGATACTCCAGACCTAATGCCCAAGTATTTTGTTTTCCAAGTTGTTTTCAGCAGTTAGGTAGTGATGGCTTTTGGAGAGAAGGGAAAGTGATTGGGAGAGACATGATAGGACATTAGGACCCTGGTTGGTTCTGTTCTTTCACCTGGTGATACTTTCACCCATGGGTGCACTAGGTCTACTTGTGGTCCACTCACGACTTGTATGCTCTTCCCCGTGCATGTTGTACTTGAATTACAAAGCCTCATTGAAAAAGAATTGTCTTATCAAAGTGACATGGACCCATCATAACAAACCCATCCCTGTCTAATCCTGAGATAACTCATAACAGTATTTTTTCAAATCTTTTTCTGTTTTACAGACAGTGATATACACATCTGTTTTGATAATGCAAATAAGATCATACTATACATGCTGTTCCTCATCTTAATTCTTCTGATTATTATTCATCTGTTTCTGTTGCTTGTATCAGAATACCTGAAACTGGGTAATTTATAAAGGAATGAAATTCATTTCTTAGAGTTTTGGAGGCTTGGAAGTCCAAAGTCCGGAGAACACATCTGGTGAAGGCCTTGATCTTTGGTGGTGACTCTACACAGTGACACAGGGTGTCACATGGCGAGAATGGGCTGAGCAAGAGAGACTAACCTCCTCACTATTCTCCTTATAAAGCCATCAGAACCACACCCACAAATGGACCCACAAATGGATCATACATTCACGAGGGCACAGTTCTCACAATCTAATCACCTCTTAATCCTGCCTTTCAAATACTTTAATTGGATTCCCCACCCTCTTAACACTGTTCCAATGAAGGTCAAGTTTTTAATACATGAACTTTTGGGGAACACATTTAACCCGTAGCAACTAATAAAACAGACATTTTCCCAAGTCTATACATATGTAAGGAGATCGACTTCACTCTTTTGTATTAACTTAAGAATATTTCATTATATGGCTGATCTGTAATTTATTTAACTCTTTGCCTATTTATGGTTCAGCCTAAAAATCTGAAGAAAGAACCTTTTAAAAGTTATTTCTATGATAAGTTTAACCTAAATTATTTTTGAAATTAACATGGTAACTTTATGAAACACTGTATGTGGTAAAATAACGGAAATGTCATTTCAGTTTTCATTTTCTTGTATCTTCTTTGGTATATCGGATTTGAGAGGGAATTTCAATTCTACTAGTTAGGATAGAATTTTAGCTTCATTTTTATCCATCATTTGTCATAAGAGCAGAAACAAATATTTTGTAGCCTACTTGGGCTAGTCTTAATAATATTCTTTTAAGTGCCATTTATGGAGTGTTTTATTTTGCTTGCAGTGGAACTTATTAAAGTTTCTAAGACAATTGTATGTGGGTTTCCCATCTCTTTTATTCTCCAGCTGCCAGGAGAAGATGGCCTGTGTCCTCTGGGGCCAGGACAGCAGTAGGGAGACCCTTTAGGAAGTGCCATAGCAGTCCTGGTGAGGTGATGGTGGCCTGGCCCGGGAAGACAAGGGTCAGGTCCCAGTAGATTTGAAGGTAGATTGGCAGGATTTACTGCTGGAGCAGATGTGGAGGATGTGGGAGTGAGAGGGGTCAGGTTTGACTCCAGCATATTTGGCCTTAGCAATGGCAGAGATGGAGTGTCACCAGGAAGACTGCAGCACAAGCAGGTTTGGGGGTGAGGAGGTAATCAAGGATTCTGTTCTGAACAGAGGAAGCTTATTTAAGATTGAATTAAGATCATGTCTCTCCTCTTCTCAGAATCCTGCAGTGGCTCCCTTTCTCACTCAGAGGAACAGCCTAGGTCCTCCCAGTAGCCTACAAGGCACGGCGTGTCCGGCCCCTTCATCTGCTCATTGGCATCGCACCCACCTTCTTGCTGTTCCCTGAACACTCTAGGCTTCCTCTTAGTCCGGGGCCTTGCATTTCTGATTGCCTCTGCCTGTACCGCTCTTCCCAGCCATCTTGTGTCGTCATGAGCACCCTATTTAAACTGCCACACCGCACTGCCAGCACACCCCATCCCCTGGCTGATGGCAAACAATAAATGACATAACCTGCATTTTTAAAAAACTTTCTGTTATGGGAAATGTGAACCATCTACCAAAGTAGAGAAGAGTGTAATGAGCTCCCATGTACCCAGCACCCACTTAACAATTAACAGCTGATCTTGTCTCCTCTTTACTCCTACCCATTGCCCCCATTATTTGGAAATATTTGATCCCAGACATCATATCATTCATCTGTAAATGTTGATAGGGGTTTACTTGTTTATTGTTGGTCCCCCATCCCCGCTCCACACTAGAATGTGAACTCAGTAAGGGTGGGGGTGTTTTTATGTTTGTTCACTGCAGTGTATCCCGCACCTAGAACGATGCCTGGCGCGTAGTAGCTACTTAACAAATGTTTATTGAGTGAATAATTGAGTCAAGTTAGATGAGGACTGAAGATTAAACATTGGATTTAATACCAGAGGGTATTGAATTTTATACCAGACTGTGATTCT